TTTTAAATTTTTTTTCAAAAAAAAAAAAAAAAAAAAAAAACGCAGCAACAATAACCACCACTGTGGCGACCAATAAAAAAAAATGCCGATAAATTTCACTTGATTAATAATATTTACAGCAAATAGCATCGGAAAAGTCGGTGAATTTGTTTACGATTTCTCAACTGCATTAATTTCTGAAATGTAAGCAAATAGAAAGGGGAAAGAACAAAAAAGGTTGAAAAAAAAAATCAACTTCATTTTTATTTTGTTTTTTTTTGTCTTTGTAGTAATATAGGCTAAAATTAGAGGCAAAAAAAAAAAAACAGAAAACAGATACAAAAACTTAATTATATTCTGTATTCTGTAGATGGTAGAACAGATGACAACTGATTGAAAAGATGCATGTAAGGAAGAAGAACAGAAAGAAGGTTGGAGAAACTGAAAATAGCAAAAAAAAAAAACTATTCAAAAAAACTTGTTATTTTCCAAAAAAAAAAATTTTTTTTTTTTGTCAGTAAATAGGGTGGGAATCAAAAATCACTGTAAGAATAGACTTCAGTTAATCGGTGAACAATTGTTGGAGGAGAAAAAAGCTGAAATTATATATTTTGAAAAGGATAGACCGTATACAGAGAAAAGGGGAAATGCTGACCGTACTTTAGAAAAAAAAATTTTTTTTAGTATTTGTTTAGGCTTTTTAAATGCTTCAAAAACCATCATTAAGTGCATTTTTTCTGTTCTTCTTCTTTTTTTTTTTTTGGATGGTTTGTCTTAGAAAACTTCTTATGACATTATGTTTAGAATGTTTTTTTTTTTAAATTTTGCTGCCATTGCTGACTGTTTTTGTTGCTCGAAACCTGATCGTTCCTTTTTTAAAACTTATATTGCTGTTGTCTTTTGCTTGTTTTTTTTTCTTAATATTTTTTAGAATTTGTTACCGATTCGTTGAGGCGAACGTTTATGGTGGTACAAAAATTTTAACTAAAAAACAATTAACTGCTGCAGCAGCAGAAAGGAAAAAAAAATCAGTGATACAACAGTATAATTGTTTGAAACATTGGTCAGCAGTAACAAAATTGCTGCTACTTATACAAACGTATCGTTTTTCAATTTATTTATCAATCTGTTCATTCATAGATTGATTTATCACTGTACCACTACTATTATCATTGATTAAATTAAGTAACTGTAACAGAGAGTTATTTGTTTGTAAAATATTTTGACTAATTAGGTGACTTCAATAAAAAAAAAAAACACAGAAAGGAAGAAAAGAAAAGAAAAACAATATTTGTTGCCAAATCAATTTGTAGCATTTTTTCAGTGCTCACAACACAACGATTGTTAACCCGTATATTTGCAATATGAAATTTACCGTTTTACAGCTTCAAAAGTTACAAATAATAATTAAAACGGTAAGAAAACAGCAGAAAACTAAAGAATATTTTTAACCCTTTTTTTCCTCTATTTTATCTTCAAAAAAATTATAAGTTTGTATGAGAACTATTAAAAAGTACCAACTTCTTTTTTTTTTTTTTTTTTTGTTTTTAGAGTAATAAAGTTAGAAAAGAAAAGAAAAATTAATCATTGGGTTTTATGCATTTTTAGATGATAATTGTTGGGTGGTATTTGACAACGATAGCCGTTGTAGTCGTTGCAGACGATGAACAAATGTATCCATCGGATTTTGTTGTGCGTAATTCAGCAATACGTCTTCGGATAAATGAACCTATTTTTCATCAGCTGTCTCGTATTACCGGTTTGTTTTA